TTAAATAAAGTTGAAATAATTATTAAGAGTAAAAGAATAAAGTTTGAAATAAAGTTAAAATTATTAAATTGTATTGTGAAGAAATTTGTTTAAATATATTTTCTCAATAGGGTGTGATGAATTGATAATGAGAAGAATAGTAGGTCTTTTACAAATCGCTCGCCGTATGCCCAGTTCTCACGGCTGTGCAAGATGCCAAGGTCTGCTCTGTGCATTGAGTTTGACTATCATTTATTGACCCTTCCACGTAATCATTTTAAATATTAAATCTAAGCTCTTTAAATCTATATTATCAATTTACGTATTATATGTATTGCACTAGCATGGACTATTTACCTTTTTAAAATATCTATTTCGTTTCACTTGAAATCCGCATAAAAAATGAATACATATTGTTATAATGGTTTATTCAATAAATCATTATAGCAATATTTATTTTTTTATGCATCCCAAATTAAATAAAACAAAATAGATATTTAAAAAGGTGGATAGTTCAATATATATAATATGTAAATTGATAATATAGATATAACAAAAATTTAAAAAGCTTAAATAGGTTTAATATTTTAAAATGATAACTAGACAAGAGAATTTAACATATTATCGTAATTTTATAGTATTATGTTTCTTTTATTATATAACATTTTGATTGCATTTTTCTTATTATATCATTTAAATTCATGCATATATCAAATACTTCAATATTATGTGTATATGGAAATTTCAAGGTGAAATAATAAAAATGGATTGTCTAATTAGATGTGCATTAAATATAATCATATTCTTCATTGCACTTCGTTCCTGATACATATTATCTGACATTCTGGTATAAGTTTTAACAATGAATATGAATTCTGCTTGCTGTTTATTACTTGTCAACACTTCACCAAAATTTTTACATGTTATTGGCCTAATTACATATTTGATAATCGATCCATCTATTGAATTTGATCTTTAGATTATTACTCTTTTGATAAAAAGTAGAATTTGTTGAATAATCGAGCACATTCCATATAATTAAATTCACATGATTAAAACATGTTCAATTAGCTCTAACTATACAGTACACAATTACACTCTTTAAATTTTTTTAAATTACTGATTATACAAATTTGACCATAACTAAATTGGTTATTTTTACTGAAGTAATTTTAACTATCAATTATCAATCAAACCAATTTGGCCAATGAAATCGGTCAAGTTATACTATTTCAAAGTATTAATTGTTGTATGTCTTTTTAATATATAACACCCTATCTATTACTGTTGAAATTTTTTTTTTTATAATTGAATAAACAATCCAGTAATAGTAATAGTACAGTTCAAATTCTGAACTAAATTTATTTAAGGTGGTAAAAAAAAAATTTTTAACTCAATTAAAATTTATAGCAGGTTTTTATCTTGTTTTTAATTATTAATTAATTATATATAACTGTTTGAAATAGCCATTAAGCATTTATCCAGATAACTATCAGATATCCAAATCTGAATTTATTCAAATATCTATTTAGATATGGATAAGATGAATTGGAACTTTGAAACTTTTTTTTTTGCAATAGTCAAATAATGCACTGTGGTCAAATTGGTCAAGTTACACAAATATCATAAATGCATTAGATATAGCAATAGCTACAGATAATCAGTCAGACCATGGTCGAATCGGTCAAACTGGTCAAATCGGTTAAGTTATATATCATAAATCATTTTCTCCTTTTAATGTATAATGCTCCATATGTTACTGGTGAAATTTTTTTTTAAATTGAATAAGCACAATACAGTAACATTTTAAATTCTGAACTAAATAGTACTATCACGTGAGAGAGGCAAGTGCGAGAATCAAAGTTAAAGTAACTATGCATAACAGGAGCTACAATAAGTCAAATAAATTATGTAATTAGTAGTTATAGTATATGCGCTTTATTTAAGTTAGCACTCTTCTTAAAATAGTAAAAAAAAAAAAATTTATATCTACTAAACAAACCAATTTAACTGATTTGACAGTGGTCAAGTTGCACTTATCTAGATCATCAATCAGACCAACTTGACCAATTTGACTATGATCAAATTGGTCAAGTTATACAAGTATCGTAAATGCTATCGATTAGACCAATTTGACCAATTTGACTATGATCAAATCAGTCAAATTGGTCAAGTTACACAAATATCGTAAATGCTACTGATCATTAATTAGACCAATTAGACTAATTTGACTGTAATCAAATTGGTCAAATTGGTCAGGTCACACAAATATCGTAAATGCTACTAATCATCAATCAGACCAATTTGACCAATTTGACCGTGGTCAAATTGGTTAAATTGGTCAAATTAATCAAGTCACACAAATATCATAAATGCTACTAGATCAGATCAATTTGACCAATTTGACCGCGATCAAATTGGTCAAGACACACAAATATCATAAATGCTACTGATTATCAATCAGACCAATTTGACCAATTTGACTATAGTCAAATTGATCAAATTGGTCAAGTTATACAAATGTTGTAATGATGCATTAAATACATACCACTGTCAAGAAAATGCTATGAAAAGCATTTGTGTACATGACGTATGTAAGTAAGTACTTTTTTTTGGACTGCTAGTTCTCTAAAATTGGTATATGTCAAATTCACCAGAATATTTTGTACGTTCTCACCTATTAACCAATTTAGTCAAAATGATAGCAATATCCCGCAATACTAACAATCGTGATTGTACTAAGAATTATTTTAGTGATCATTTCTTACCTGTAAAAGCATGGCGGTTGTGAGAAGAGAAATTAAAAAATGGCTATATATGTATGCACACACGCACTTGCTTTCTTCTAGTTTTTTTAATTGCTTAACAACATTTTACTGATAGATCATTACTTATATATCAAGCAAGGCGGCTATGAACAGAAAAATGGTAGAAAAAGGCAAGACGACTATGAGAAGAGAAATGAAAAAATAGATATGTATGTATGTGTACACATGTTTGCTTTCTTCTGGCTCCTTCAATTGTTCAACATTTCACTGATAGTCATTACTTATCTGCCAAGCAAGGCGGCTATGAACAGAGAAATGAGAAAATAGCAGAATCGCGTATATATATACACATGCACTTGCTTTCTTCCGGCTCCTTTAGTTGCTTAACAATTTTGTTGATATATATTGACAAGCATTATTCTTATTTGCATTCAATCTTCTCACACCAGTATTCTTGTTATATTTCATTTTATCTTCATTGATGTTGTATGTAGTGATGTGCTCTAAAACTGTGAAATCGTGGCTACCCTTTGGTCATGTGATTTTATTCTAAAATATAGGCTGCGTTATAATAATTGCGCATGAATTATCATTATATAAATAATCATTCGATAATTCCATATTATAATTAAATTTCAAATATGCCTCAAACTTATAATCATAGATTAACAAAATACATTCATATACAAACTGATTTAGGCCCTATACAAAAAGCTAAGCGGGCTATATGTAAAGCCTGTAAAAGCAAAGAAGGCTTATTTCAAAGGAGAAGAAGTAAAGGTCTTGAGTTATGGCAAGTTTATAAAAAATAGAGATTTTTTAATAGATGAGATCGTGTACAATGGCATTAGAAAAAGTGTTCCTATTGGAAAGAGGTTTGGATTGGAGAAGACCAAGATATAATAATGTATCTGGATTCTGATGAAACAATAGCGTGAAAGGCAGCTATTGCATTAAGACAAGCAAGAGCTCAAAATAATATATTAGCTATGTCTGTTGTTTCTTCAGGTTCTAGTGCTAGAATTTCAAATACATCAGGTTTAACATCAGTATCACATAATATGAAACGAACCAAACAAACAAATATATCCTTAAATACTTACTTTGTTGTTCGTCAATTATCACCTACTGAGCAGAATAAATTTCATCGTCGACTTCTTTGTATAATAGTCGAAAATAGTCTCTCATTTCGGTTTACTGGAACCAGAACTTTTCATGAGTTTGTTGCTTTCTTTAATACCACTGTTAAGATTCTGAATCGACAAATGTTGAGCAAAAGAATTCTTAAAGAATATGCCAAAAAATTAGAAAGTTCTCAAGTTTCTGCTCTTTTAGAAACACAAGAACTAGTTACTATTATGTTTGATGGGTAGAAGAATATGTGCCGCCAAGAAATTTTAGATGCTGTTATTCTTTTAGCAACAAACAGATTATACATATGGGGTGCTGAAAATGTAAGTAGCACTAGTCAAAAAACAAATAATGTATTAAACACAATTCGCGCTTTTTTAAAACATGCAAAAACGCAAACTCTAAATGTAGTTGCAATAGTAACTGATAGCGCATTGTCTTATGCCTCAGCATGATATTATCATTTTTTTTTTTTTTAATTCTTCCAGTGTTATTCACCATGGGATGACATTATTTTAAAATTAGGGTTTGAGGCATGATAAAAAAAATTATTTGAGTTGAGGCATGCTTATAGGCATGCCTTTTTATATAAACTTAACCAAAAGATTCTTTCTCGTCTCTTGTATCTATACTTCTTTGATTACTTCTGACTATGCTAGTCAATCAGATATGATACATATATCACATAACCAAGGCATGTACATGCCTCTGTACCTCGAATCCTATTCAAAATATATATTTTTTAATTAAAATAATTTTTAATTATGCTTTTTTTTTTTTATCTTTAATTAAATTTTTTTATTATTATTATTTTTTTTTTAATTCTTTGACAGTTTTGTCGGTGCTCAAATACAAATTATATTACTACTAGACTAAAAACAAAGTTTAAAGATTTCTAATAATATCTAATTAACAATTATAAGCCCGGCATTACCCAGCTACATCATGTGCGCCCAGATGTGACTTGTCACACCAACCTACAAGTGGGTTGGAAGACTTTGTTAGCTCTATCAAGAACTAAACCAAAAAGGAGTTGAACTATTTTCAACCTATTCATCAACACCTATTTTGAATAACCTTACAACTTCAACATCTTTCTCAATACCTACTACTTTACCTACCCCACTCTGTTCACCAATATTCCTGCTTCCCCTTACTTTTGACATTGTGTTCTTACTAGTATCTTTGATATCTGACTTCTTTTGGTTGCTTCTCTTCATTGATGTATCAATGCCATTTTCTTTCTCCTATTCTGCAACCGCTTTACATCTAATTCACCAGATCTCATCAAGAAAGCTACTTTCTACGATCACCATATAACTGCCTAGTACTAGGTTTATATTCTTTCTTGATATCTCCAAATTTAACAGATCCACCACAACATTATCTAGTATAAGCCCTCTGATATAGTCTTTTCTCTGCTTGGTTTGCTTTTCAGATATACTACTGCCAATTGCCAACTCAAACATTTCAGTAGATATTGACCTCTTATATACATGATCTAACTTCTTCCATGCAAGCAAACATGCGACTTTCTTTATAATACTCCAGTAATTATCATACCCTGTACACACTACTAAGTGATTAAAAGTTTCTTTTGCATACCTACAACTTACACACGTATCATCTAAATAGACCTCTGGCTTTCTTCTTTTTAATGATGATAAGACAAACAAATTGTCATTTATACACTTAATTCGGAAGGCTATATTCCTGCTTGCAACTCGTGTTTTGTACTTGATTTCTGTTGCCTTTCTATTCTGGCACTACAAGGCCTTCCAGCTACAGTTTGTGTCCGTTTCACTTTCATACTGCTTGATTGTCTTTGAACTATGCCATTTTGCACCGGTTTTAAAGCTTATTAGCATCTTGACTAGTTTTTTTGTTGTTATCTCGACCGGTATTTCATTAAGGTAGGCTGAAAATCTTATGCGATGATTTTCCTCTATAGCTAATAACAAACACCGAGCTAACCGAGCCTTTTCTTTTGCCAGTTGGTCAGCTCTTTCATTCCATTTTATCTTACTGTATGCCTTCACCTTAATCAACTGAAGCACCAAAGACTTTGATCTACATATATCTTTAATCTTAACTACCAAACTCGCATTTTGCTTCTTATTAAACAGTCTTATGTCAGTAAGCGTCATTGGATCTTCTAAGCTTGCAATAGCTACAGCACTATCTAGTTTAACTATAACTTCACTTTTGCACCTAGCTGTCAAAACTACCATTAACACAGCTACTAACTCTGTTTTTGTTGATAATAGCCATCTACCAAATCTAATCTTTCTCTCCACAAGGACCGTCTCCTTCAAATTATCGACCTGTATCCAACCTGCACCCATCCTACAACCTTCATTACTTTTGATCAAGGACTCATCAGTATAATACACACTACTATCTATATTTTTACTATAGTTATTCTCCAATTGCTGTATTAATAGCAACTCTAGCTCCTGGTCAAAACCCTGCTCTACAACTAAGCTCTTTTCATGTAAGTCTATCACTACTATACTATTTATCTTACACTCGCTTTTCGCTTTCGCTGACGTATTATTACCTAATTTAAAACCTTTAATCTCTTTTAATAGGACTAATACCCTCTTTCCATTAACCGTACTAATTTCAGGAATTGCTCCTAGTACCCTTCTTTTCTTAACCCATTGTTGGCATACATTAACCTCATCTGTTTGACTTAATTTACACTTCTTGCAACTTTGCAGCCTATTTTCACTATTAGTCGATAGCTCAGGCACCTAATGATCGATTAAAATTTGTGCCTTTCTTTTTTTTCTAACTTGATCTACTATTGAATCTGCATTTTCATTGTTAATGATTACCTACTCATGGTATCTCTGATCTTCAAATAAACTCTTCACCTTCATTTGCATATATATCCAATTCTCTTCTGGAACCTTAAAGTTATCTTCTACCTCTCTACTTTCTATACATTTAATCAACTTTCTCTCAATCACACTAAACCATTTTGCTTTTCGGTCTTTTAGAGACTTTGTTCTCAATGCATATAGTTGGTTCCATGTTATTATCTTCATACTAGTTCTATTAATCAACTGGTTTATATAAAATACATTGAAACTCCTAATACTACTACAATAGGCACTATATGTCTCTTCTCCAATTATTTCTGCTATTGTAGAACTTGTACCCCAAATTTGCCACTTCTCTGTATTAGTACGAAGTGACACATCTAATTCATTTGCTTTGACTAAAATTGATCCTGCCAGATTGTTTTTCCAGACCTTTCTGAGATACTGATTTTGTAGTTTTGACCAATTTTTTTTTACTAACCCAGCCAATGCATAACCTTCATTCAACCTTATTTGTGTCATCTTCTCTACTCGATCCAACCTATTAAGTCTATTCTGCAAGCATACTAGTTGTTTGCTAAATAGCTCCTAGCTCAAGGACCTACAATGGCCTAGTCCTTGGTGTGTCACTATATAATTGCCTGCTATTGCCGGCAACCTTATTTTGCTCTTAAATATTCTTATTACCAGTTGATATATTCTATCTATACTTGCTTCAGTTAATTTTGTTATCTGTAATATATAGGCCAGTGTTGTACATGAGACAATTTTGAACAATTTTGGACATTTTTTCAAATTAAAATTACTCAAAATTTTATTAAGATAATCTATTTTAATTT